GGGTGAAAAAACTGAACAAAATCTTAAATTTGTTCTAAAACAAGCTTTTCAAAAGAATTTGGTTTAACTGTAATAAGCTGTTTAAGCTGTATAAGTATGGAGTTGCTTTGCTTTTTTCTGAACTGGTGTAATCTATTTTCATCTTTCATTATGTTGCCTGTGTTGTTAGTGTTGTCATACTGTGTGCGATTTTAATTTTAAAACCCATTTTGGGTTCATTTAACCCAGCAGTAGGGCTATAGTAAATTTCAAGCAATATTTGAATTAAATAAAACAGCCCAACATGTTTATTGATATATTATCTGGTATATAATGTATGCATTTATGACCTACAGTATAAACAATCGTTTCAGAGCAATTTGTTGTAGCCACTTACCCTGTAACTACATGGAACAAGCACCACTTTAAATTACAGCCAAATGTTGTATTTACCCTGTAACTACATGGAACAAGGGGGAACAAGCACCACTTTAAATTACAGCCAAATGTTGTATTTACCCTGTAACTACATGGAACAAGGGGGGAACAAGTTGGACAATCACAGAACAAGTGTATATTTGCACAGTAATTACAGAGAAAAATCTTGCAGTTTTAATTTAATTGTTTGATGACCAAATTAAACCCTCTACTTTTTTTTATGCTATAAAAACACCACAGTATACATCCACTGAAATACAAATGTTGTATTTTCTTGTATTTTTTCTGCGAACAGCTGGAAAGAGGTAAGCTTGTTTTAAGCTGCATGTAACCTTGATGGTATATCAGGCAAAGTTATTTGGTGATAGTGGCGTTGAGAAGTTGCTGGCGTGACTCAGCTGAGATCGACGAATACGCTTTCATAAGGTAAGTAGACTGGTGAATTATAAATCATAGCAGAAACTCATTAAGTCATTTCATTAGATGTCCAGTTTTGTTGTTCAGTAATCTCCATAATATATCCTTTAATAATAGAATATGTACCCCATGGTTAAAAAATACCTAGGCCTATAATAAAGTACCAATGTAAAATTATAAAAAAGGATGTTTTCTTGCTAAATCACTCCCAAACATAAGATTGTTGTTGCCAAAACTGGCCCGCCAGCAATAATATCTGGCCCGCGCCCGCAGCCCGATTATTTTGATAGCTGGTTTTGGATTAGATCTGTCATGACAGCAACAGTTACTCACAATCAGAGTATGTGAGCGGAGGGGAGCGCAGAGTGGAGCGGTGTGATTTTGAATGGAGCGAGGAGCAGATTTTTTAAAAGTCGGAGCGTCTGGTTTTCACTCGCTCCAAGAGCGCTCCACCACCGCTCCATCACGAGTACAATTCATGCCAACATCCCGTAATACAACTGCATATTTAGCAAGAATTCACATGTTAAACATATTTAGCTAGCTTGATAGAGAAGGATCACTCAAATCAGAAAGAATGTGAATTCTATGATGACGGCGATGGACATGAGCGGGAAGTTATAGTTCTCAAGGAATTTGTTTGTTTCTTCTAGATACTGAATATTTTCAGCTGAAAGCATGGTTTAAACAAGTAGGCTACTACAACACTTATTCGCACGCAATCGCTCTCTCAATAATGCGTTCAAACAAATGTAATCTCATAGTGCTAATTCTGTGTCCGATTTCGAATGAGCAAAAATCTGTAAGAAATGCATCGATCCGTAGGTAAAACAACTGACGAAAACATTCTGTTATTTTCATCACAAACAAAATTTGCACCGTGAAAAGCAGCAATTATACCTGTTAAAGAGGTCATATGATGCAATTTCAAATTGTTCCTTTCTCTTTGTGTTAGTGTTACAAGCTCTTGGTGCATAAAGAAGATCTGTAAAGTTGCAAAGACTAAAGTCTCAAATCCAAAGAGATATTCTTTATAAAAGTTAAGAGTCAGCCACGGCTACCTAAAACGGCTCGTTCTAACACACCCCCACATACCTACATCACTATGTGGGAAGATTTGCATAACGCCGCCCAAATGTTCACGCAAAGAAAGAAGGCGTAACTTTTATTCTCGCTGTAGTATTGTTGCTGCCGCCGTCATGAAGACGCTGTGCGCTTTTCAGACCGATGAGCTTTGTAAAAATCGACGTGTTTCAGAAAGGCGGGGCATAAAGGAGAAACAATAATGTACAGTATGTGGAAAATAACGTGATTTTTGAACCTTAAACTGCATAAACGCATTTCATTACACCAAATACACAAAATAATGTTCTTTTTAGCAGCATCATATGACCCCTTTAAGATAAAGAAAACAAGATTACAGAGGCAATTATTTAGGGGGAGCATGAGACCCTGCTCTACCCACAGTCTTGCCCTCATAACTGCTGCAAAAAGGATTTGCCACCGTACCGCGAGTGTTTGGCTGAAGCCTCTGTCGGACCTTCTTGCGTCGTTCCTGCTCTCTTTTCGAAATGAGAGGAGGCCATCTGTTTTCTGGGCATAATCAAATGCACAATAACACTGCCCTCTGAAGAGAAGATTGTTCTGCATCCTTTGCGCTGTAATTATTCAGATGTTCTCTACAGTGAGAGTGACAACCATTACTGCAGCTTTAGCCTATCCACCTTTATCTTCCCTGTAAATTCTGTGGGTCTAGCTTCCGGTCTCATCCACGTCCAGCTATTTTTAGCTGTACAAAACATTATTTATTATGTTTATATATATATTATTATATATATTATATTTTGCTGCTTGTTATTGACAATTGGTGTGTCTTATCATATTATTTTAATGTATTATCTTATTATGAACACACTCACTACCATCTACACAAACACTTACATATATTATTATTCAAATAAACTCCACACGTACTGATGCATTTTTTTATTTTATATATTAATATAATATTTAAAGGGATAGTTCACCCAAAAATGAAAATGTGATGTTTATCTGCTTACCCTCAGCAGGGCATCCAAGATGTAGGTGACTTTGTTTCTTCAGTAGAACACATTTGATGATTTTTAACTTTAACCGTTGCAGTCTGTCAGTCGTATAATGCATGGCAAAGTTAACAAAATCTATGAGAGTAAAAAAACATGCACAGACAAATCCAAATTAAACCCTGCGGCTCGTGACAACACATTGATGTCCTAAGACACGAAACGATCGGTTTGTGCCAGAAACCGAACAGTATTTATATAATTTTTTACCTCTAATACACCACTATGTAGCCGTCGTACCTACAATGTTTGTGCACTGTGTAACCAATGAGTGACGTATACGAGCGAGAGATCACTTCCCGCGCTTGCGTAAACGCAACACAACACAACACAACAGTGCACAAACATTGTAGGTACGACGGCTA